ATTTGATGCACTACCATTTCCGTTCTAAGCTGACATGTGCAAATTTCAGAATGCAAAGTGCGTTTGTACCTACGATCGCGAAATGATGGTGGCTTGGCCATGCTTTAACATAAGGTAAATAATGTTCTTCCACGTTACGAAGAAAGACACTATGATTTCCAGCGTATGGTATGACCATACATGCCCTTCGTGTAAAGAAGATGGCTACTGTGAGTATAGCTCACATGAAGGCGAAGAACCTGATAACAATGCGTCAGGATGGCCGTGTAAATGTCGCAATCGCACAGAAAGTATTGAGATAGTTGATGTGAGTTTATAAATCTTACGCATCATCGAATGCAAATGTCTTCGAGGATAGTAGTAACGGATGGACGGAAAGAATTATTGTATAAAACATTTTCCACGCTTTAATCAGTTTCAGCCATTGGAAAAGCTGTATGGGTTTACACAGGTAAGTTCAGTTAGGAAGTGGTGACATTCCTTCACTGAGCACTATTGATGTATAAATTACACACATACCCATTATTCCCCTTACCCCTATGTATGATTGCAGCAAATCATTTCATCCAAATCTGCCCCTTGTGTCGACTTTGTTGTTGTTTCCTTTCTCAGAAAAAGGCGTATTCTGACAGCCGCATATGAGCGAGAGGCGTTATAAATACCACCACCGTCCTGATCCATCACTGTTACTACACTTCGTTGTCACAAACCACTGACTGTCGTTGGGATGCATGAAAAAAATGAAGCGAAGATGGATTAAGAGCAGTGCATTTCCTTCAGGCTCCTTACTGCATCGGCAAACGTCCGCGGGAGATTCGAAAGCTGTGGGTTGATGACTTTACGAACACTACAACCACCTCTACTACCACTACTACTACTACAAGTAAATCAGTCAATAACTATTTTGCATTAGAAGGATTAGATCTCATATTTTCAGCCACAACGACCACCACCACCACAACGACACCACCCACAACACGTAAGTCACATTTGTTAGTATCTGTCTTTTTCTACCTGAATGCTCTGAATGAATTTAGCTGTAGTAACTATACCTCTTTCTTCCCCTTCCACTACTTCCACACTTTCTACCTCTACCTCCATCATCACTTCCACAACGCAGCCATCAAGTAAAGGTAGAGGATGCAACTGCTCACTTGTTTGTGTGTGGACTAATGTGAATGATAAACACACACTTGTGCACAAACATCAGGATCCTATATCCAGTGAGCAAGAGCGGCTTCTACTACGTCCTAACCCCTTCCAGTGCTTCGGGTCGTCTCGAGACCGCTAACTACCTCAGCTCTCCGGCCTGGTTTTAGTGCAATTTATCTGATTGCTGTCACTCACTCTCACCCCGTGTTGCAATGAAATCAAAACACAGTGTAAAACAACGCGTATTTCCTCATAGAATCGTAAGCTTGTCAGAAGAAAAACTCTTTTAGCTATGCCGACTGCTCGGCCCAATCAGAGAGCGATTGTGAGCAATCCGGAAACCATCAAAGCTATGGGATTTTCGGTAAGTTATTGCTTCTGGCTCGAACAGGGTTCGGCAAAATTTCTACGGACTAGCAGCTGACTGTTTTCGGTGGCTTAGGACCTAAATGCGCAAGGAGCACAATGATTCATTCGTTGACAAAAACTTCGAACCTGCTACCGTACAGACCCTAGTTCAAATGATAAGTCTTTGCGAATCAAAGAAGCGACAAGCAGTACATATACAGCAGTACATACCGTAATTGGTTTACGACGTCCTCTCTACGACGAATGAAACCCTTGCGCCTTGTTTCTTAGGACCCCAACCGCTTTTTTAAGCCAGCTGTATAAATGGTCGAGCTGCTGTTTGAAGCGCTTGAAAATGAAGTCAAAGTGGCGTCTTCAAGTGCTTCGCAGTCAGTAGGCTGTACCTATCCATCTTTTTCATATTCCTCATGTTCTAGGGAATGACTGATGGAGTCGCGATGTTAACGAGAGCCAAAGAAAATTTGATGTTTACCATGTCTGCGTTGTCCGTTGAACAGCGCATAGCCTTATCTCAAAGCAAGCGTGAATTTATAGAAATGTGCTCTTTTAATGGGCATGAGTGTAATATTGAAGAGTACGTTATCATTTATTAGCTGCGATTGCAAATAGGCTTGAATCGGATATTATTTCAGGGACTTTCGTCTTCATGTCGATCCAGAATTCGGTAACTGTTACACATTTAATTATGATGTAAACAACAACTACACAAGCAGCAGAGCAGGACCAATGTACGGTAGGTAATTAGGGCGCGATTTGGTTTGATAAGCGCGTTATCCCCCCAAAAGTCATCACGAAAAAGAGGTACATGATTTATTTTAGGAATAAGAGTGCTCCTTTTCGTGAATACTTCTGACTACATGTCAACTTCGGAATCAGCTGGAGTGCGGCTTGCAATACATGCCCCTACCGAATATCCATTTCCTGATACATTTGGCTACTCGGCTCCAGTGGGCTTTGCCAGCAGCTTCGGCATGAAGAAGGCAAGTTTACTTGATCATATGTGACTGTCTGGTTCACTACGGTGCTTTCAGAAACTCATACAAAGACTGTCTAAACCTTACGGAGACTGCATTCATCCAGAAAGCTTCAATAAAACTGATTATATATACGAAAATTACGACTATCATCCGGAAGTGAGTACAGATTGACAATGAGTGCACTTGATGCTATAGATTGTTTTTAATCTAGGGATGTCATCGAAGCTGCTTCCAAACGAATTTACTGCGTGATTGTGCATGTGGGGATCCACGCTTCCCAGTGCCGGAAAACCGCAAACATTGCTCAGCATTCAACGCTACAGCAAGTAAGATTCGCTCTTAACTACGCTGTCCTGTGATGGATAATCTGCAGGAGACTGTTTGGAAAAGAACATCGGTTCCATTGGGGATTTTCATCACATAACAGAAAGAATGAACTGTGAATGCAAACAGAGATGTACGGAGGTGGTGCATGAGGTCACATTCTCGACCAGTAGGTGGCCCTCAGGAGCGACTGATGTAAGTGAATAACTTAGTATTGTCACATACCAAGAAACTACCTGTGTCTCTATTTTCGCACATGAACGAACCTAGAAAAATGTTCTACGTGGTCAACACTTCTATGCATTTGTTTAACTTTTTTTTCAGGAAAATACTGGGGTACATCTTACTAAGTTTACTCTGCTATCTCCCTTGGCATGCATGCAAAACTTCATCCAAGCCCTCTGTGCTTAGGCTCGATTCATATTGATCCGTAAGTTCCGGAACAGTTCCAGCACAGAATTGCTTGAATGCTTGCTTGCTTGAATTGTGCGCTGTGCTGGAACTGTTTCCGAAGTTGCGGATCAGTATAAAGCCAGCCTTAACAAGCTGCGTTGGAACGTAGGGTGTCAGGAACGATCTAGACCACAGCTGGTTGGCTAGAACCATGATAAGTTGGCTAGTCATCATGCCTATGTCTTGCTGTCAATAAGGGAACGACCCCAAGACGCCATGGCGATTTAGAACGAAATGCATTTCATAGATTCGTCGTGTTCTGGTTCAAATCTAACTTTCGCATGTGCTGCTCGGTTTTCTAGAAGAAGTTATGAGCGTCTGAAAGCGCAATTTCGCAAACCTCCGTGCCGAAAATAGGTGTTCAAAAAGCACTTTTAGATGTTGCCAACGCGTGTGTGCAATCAGTAGTATCAGTCTAGTCAGTATACTCAACATCATGTTAATTATATATTCCCAAGCTAATTTTCAGTGCACGTTATGTACTAGAATCCTAGTAACTTCATACATCCAGTGCTTCCTATGGGAAACCGCGCAGCAAATCTGAGAGATAGATTTGGAATCAGCTCAACAAAACGTATTTCATGGGACGCACTTCGTTTCGGATCACTGCATCGACTTAGGACATTTCCCTTGTTGCGCTGAGGGGCTTCTGTGGTATCGGTCAGGTGTACTTACAATGGCACTACCTACTCACTGCTCACTTCTCATCCCTACATCTCGCAAGGTGGTGAACTTTCGAATGAATACGCCAAAGAGTAAATTTCGAGCATAACTCAAAAGGAAGTTTTCTATCGGAGATTCTTCGTACCCGTTCTTCTCCAAAAAATACTGCATCTATTGACTTCATTGCTGTTAGCGTTCAAATAAAGGGCTCACATTTGAACCTTCACGTCTTTGAACTTAGAAGTAGAATAGGATCAACCTAATGACTTGAACCATTCGCAGATTTTGTGATCATGATGTGGTTTGAAATTTGGACTCTGGAAGGCAGTAAGAGAGGGGTGCGGATTAGCTCAACCTGCGATAAAAATGCTGATCAATTTTGACAGTTTAGTGAAATTTTTATTGAGGCTTCTAATTTCCGCGTTTCGGAAAATCAGTGGGCATGCTTATCAATAGAGCTCGGCAGCTGAAAAGCTCTTATAATTTTATTTTCTTGGCTTTGTGCATTGGTGCCATGGATAAAAAGCTTATTAAGTTATTTTGGCCCACTTCATCACCGTGTTAAACCAGTCCACCTGATTGCCGGAGTGTGTTTTGATCATGAACGAGTAGGGAATTAGCACCGCATCATTCTTATCTAATTCATTCGAAGGCTCACACCCCGAGCATAAAAAACATACCACCTTTTCCGCATATATGCTGCCACGGTGAACGATAGCTTCAGTAAGTCAGTGCATTTCGTAAAGCACCACGAATGCAGCCACAGGCACATTCAATCCGGAATCATATGGCTTTCGTATGAAAGAAACTGAATTACATGTCTGCTCATTATATCTGCCAGAAAGTTTCGCCTTTCATCTAATACTGCACTAAGTAATCCAATAAATAAGATTAGCATCTTCAATATTTGCAATTATCACTGTGAAAAAAAAACCATAACTTTGCTTAACTGACGTTCGGCAGACATGGAGCTATTTGACGACATCGAGCTTCTTGGGAGTGGCTCCTTTACTTGTGACTGCTCACTTGTTAGAGTGGGTGAGCTGCAATACTACTGTGTCGCAAAGAAGTATCTTAGGCGGTAGCAGCTAATGCAACAACTAAAGATGCTTTCATACCGCCGGCAATCACCGCTAGCTGCCAGTAGCTGGCTTAGCCGCTTGTAGCCGGCAGCCGCCTGTAGCCGTCG